TTTTTTTTTTTTTTTTTTTTTTTTTGTCCTATAATGATTTTTCCGTGACATTATTAAAAGTTTACTAAATAACTATTGACTTTTCCATATTTAAAAGAAAAAATAAATAAATTTTAAAAAAGAAAAAATCATAAAATCGACTTAGGGTTCGAAAGATCCTAAAACCCTAAAATCGATTTAGAATTCGAAAGATCTTAAAATTGATTTAGGGTTCGAGTGATTCTAAAATCAATTTAAGGTTCATGATCAATCAACGTCTATATTTAAATCAATATTAATAGCCCATTCAATTATAAAAAACAAAATTTTAATTTGATTAAAAAAAAAAGTCTTTTTCAAAAGAGAATTGGAAGTATATGGAGAGGTTGAGGTTTTTAAGTAAATATATACGGCAAGTGGAGAAGAAGATGACCGCCACCCACCCAACTCAACCCAACCTATCGCATGTACTTTGGCTATGGGGATCTGTTCCAAGAAACTTTCTTATTTTTTTTATTTGAAAAATAATTTCTAGAATAATAAGCATGTATGCGCGTAAATGGGCTCGTACCCTTAAAAGATCGAGTCCAGGAAGATATTGTGGAAAAAATATCTGTGAGATCCCACATCAGTTATTGAGTGGAATGAATTATTTTTTATAAGGGTGTAGAAAGCTCTCTCTTGTAAACGCGTTTTAAAATCATGAGGTTGATGACAATATGTAATGGGTCAAAACGGATAATATTTGTTAGTAGTGGGCTTAGACGGTTACAAATAGTATTAGAGCTAGACACGGGGTGGTGTGCCAGCAAGGACACTATGTCTCCAAGGGAGTGGATTGTGATCCTATATCAGTTAGAGAGGGGAACAAAACATTTCTTATAAGGGTATGAATGGTCATGCTCGTTAGAATTAACATGTCATACCAAATCAATCAGATTTCACGAACTTTAAAACGTTTCTACTTTGTCAATAACTTTTAACTTGTCTAACCATTTCTACTACCTGATTGATCGTCAATTCCAACTTGTAATTCATTTAACTGACTATCATCATGACATGACACCTCGACATTACAACCCGAACATTCTAAAAGAGCTTGGTACGTAGTGTGGGGCACTAAGGAAAAGATCAAAAGATGGAATATGGTTGAAAATAATGTGTTGGATATATAGGGAGTGGTCCAAAAGTGGTGCCACGCTAGTTGACTATGGAGGCGAGTGAGTATGTATAGCCCAAGCCAAGGCATATGGCTTCCCTCAACCACAACCCTCTCTATCCCATCATCTCACTCTCTTTTTTGCCATATTTATCTCTATTTATGTCTCGATCAAACTTGTTCTAACTTTTAACTCGAAGCATCGTTTTGTGACTCGAATTCTCGAGTCGACTTTAAAAATATGTTGTGTGTTATTTTAAAGTTAAAAGTCGAAAAAGTTAGGTCAGTGCGATTTGAAGTCTTTCTATTGTGTGTCTACATACCGTTATTATAATAGTCCAAGCTTACTATTGATAGATATTGTCCTTTTCGAGTTTTCACAACTGGGTTTCATTTCAAGTTTTTAAAACGTGTGCACTAGAAAGAGATTTGTTCCCCTCTCCAATCGATGTGAGATCTCACGATCTACCCCTGGAGCTCAATGTCTCGTTGGCACTCCTCCCCCCTCTCCAATTGATGTGAGATTTCATAGTTGTGTCATGACATGTCACACATTACCAATATATATATAGATATATATATTTTGTAAGATAATGTCTTTAAAAGTTTTAGTGTAGCATTTATGGTTTGAAAATATCATTCTTCGGGTTAACTTGTAAAACATGCATAGTCGATCAACTGGATAAACAAATAGAGTTGACCTAATTTGATGGAGTAGTGGATTAGGGTGGGGCTCGAGGCCCTTGGCAAAGCCTTGTCTCACCCATGTTTCTTGACTCGACATGGAATTAACCAAAATCTGTTATGATCTGTGATCTTGTGCAATACTATTTGTCACATGATGAAAATGCAAACAAAATCTTACCTGAAGTATTTACAGTACATTAGTATTTTTTTAAATATAAATTTTATATTTTTTTGTGCAAAAGTTATTGAATTTACTAAAAAAAAAAAAATATATCTCACACGTGCAAAGTATTAGTAATGGTGGTCCTCAGGCATTATAATACGAAGTTGATAAGCGCATTATTCAAAAAGTTTTTATCTTATATTTAGAAATTTTATTAAAGCTATGGAATCTTTTTTTCATATATTAGAGACAAATAATGTGTTAAAAAAAAAACTATATTATTGTTTTTGTACTTTATATTATATCTCGAACAAGCCTAAAATATCAAAAATTATATTGATTTTTATTTTGTCGGGTCAACTCAATTAATTTAAAAATATCAGTCTCACGATTTTAAAACGTGTCTGTTAGAGAGAGGTTTCCACACCTTTACAAGGAATACTTCGTTCCCTCCTCCAACTGATATGGATCTCACAGTCCACTTCCTTAGGGAGCCTAGGGTCCTCGCTGGCACACCACCCCGTATTTGGCTCTAATACCATTTGAAACAGCCCAAGCCACCACTAGCAGATGTTGTCATTTTTGAGTTTTTCCTCATAGACTTCTTTTAAGGTTTTAAAATGCATCTACTATGGAGAGGGTCTAGCCCTGCTCCGACTAGTGCCTCGCACCATCTAATGACTGATTTTAATACCATTTGTAATAACCTAAGCTCACCGCTAGCAGATATTGTCCGTTTATACTCGTTACGTATCACCATTAGCCTCACAACTTTAATTTACCTACGCTCTTATGAAGAATACTTCGTTTTCTTATCCAATTGACGTAAAATCTCACACTTAGAGACCAACATCAGGGTTGGATTACGTCAACTAGTAATTTTTAAATTTTTTTAGTCATCTTAACTAATTTTAAAAAACGTTTAAAGATGTAGAACGACGACGTTTCGATGATTTTCGTTGTAAAGAAGCGCAGTGAATGAAAGCAGAGAACAAGAAGCTCGAAAAGCCGATAGAGCATCAGAAGGTTTTTTACATTCGATCTTGCCCGCCGGCGATTCACCATCTCAGAGTTGGAGCTCAGAGATCAGAGAATGAAGTTAGCTCCAAAAGTAATATTTCTCGTCAGAGAGTCTGAGGGTTTCTCCTCAGCCATTTTCGGAGCTCTTCGCCCTAATCCGCCTTTTACGGTTACAACGCTGTTAGCTCAATTCCCCCTCGTTTTATTTTCCTCCATTGAATTCAAGTAACTTTCCGACTAACCGATCAAATTTTGTTTGATTTGATACAGGCATGAAGACTTTGAGTTCTCCCTGGAGGAGTATGCAATCAAAGACCACAAGGCCTCAGGGAGCATCGTTCACTATCTCGACGATAAAGGAATTTATCAGGTACTTGTTTAGGTTTCCAATGATGTTAGTAGTTGTTGAAAAATGGTTAAAGTTTTATGAAGAATGTCAGCGTTAAGCAAATTATGAACAAATTATCCAACTTCAAATTTCTTAATAGATAATTTCAGCTGGTTTAGCTATGGAGTTAAAACTTGTGTATTATGGAGTGATCGCTTAATGAGAACTCAAAGAAAGAAGGATTGATAAAAAGTATTAGGATTTTATTGTTTTTGGTAATCAAGAGTATAGGTACGAGATCGTACATCAGTTGGGGAGGATAATATAGCATTCTTTATAGCAGACGCATTATAAAAACTTCGAGGGAAAGTCTAAGAGGGAAAGCCAAAAAGGACAATATTTGCTAGTGCTAGTGGTGGGCTTGGACCGTTATAAAGTACTAATTTTCATATGGGAGCATAGCCATGGAAGCATGTGTACTGCTGATGTGCTCCAAAGAAATGCCCCTTGGCTTGTCTCTTCGCCAAATTGGTGTGTGCCGTGTCAGAGGGATGCAGAGACCTTGCTGCATCTGTTCATCTCCTGCCCATTTGTAAATTCGTTTTGGAAGATTATCATAATGGCCTTCAATTGGGAGATATAATCACTTTGCTAGAGGCGGTTTTTATTGGCCACCCTTTTAGTAAAGAGAAGGAAGCCATTTGGTTAAATTTCATGAGAGCCTTTCTTTGGTCAGTTTAGTTGGAAAGAAATCAGCGCAATTTTCAAGGACAAAGCCACTGATTTTGATGGTTTTTTAACATATGACCTATATTACTCTCCTTAGTTGTTAATTCACCCAAGAAATCAACGCATTTTCAAGGAAAAAGCTATTGTTTTGATAGTTTTTATGAACATATGACCTTTATTGCTCTCTCTTAGTGTGAATTCTCCCCTTTCTTTCGTAACTTTAGTCTCACTTCTCTAATTGCCCATGGATTTTGTTTTGGCACATTTGATGCATTCTTGTGTAAAGAAAAAGTTTACATTAAACGCTAAGTTAGGTCTCTCTTAAGGGGTAGAAGAATTTCTTTCTCTTATTACCATTTGGAATGTGGTATGGTAAAGCTGATGAGTTGTGAGTAGGTTGGTTTATGTGAGATCTCACATCGGTTGGAGAGGGGAACGAAGCATTTCTTTTAAGGGTGTGAAAATCTCTCCCTAACAAACACGTTTTAAAACCTTGAGAGGAAGTCCAGAAGGTGGTAAAGTCCAAAGAAGACAATATATACTAGCAGTGGGCTTGAGCTGTTACAGTTTAGGTTTTAATCAATTGATTCTTGGTCGGAAATTGAACAGAACAGTACCGTACCATTCAGTTTTGCAACTTAGGATTATCGTTAGATATGTGTCGCAAATGTGTGAAATGGTGTCAGTTTTTTAACGCTATTTTTTATATACTTTTTTCTTGAGCATATATCTACCAAGTTGCAGAAGACTTTGTATCAAAGATTTTCCATGAATCAGATTGATATGGTCTCAAAGTTTCAAAAGTATAGAATGTGATCTTCTGTGGAACAACATTTTACTTGCTTCTGTCGACTGATCTGAGTTCATGCACGTCCCATATTGTTTTTTGCTTAAATTTTCAGGTTTCAGTATTAATCTTACAAAGCTACGAACCTCCAGTCTTGGCATGTGCTGTAGATGTAGTTCTTTCACACATAGCAGGACAACGTTTACCCTCTTCTTCAAAATCAAAACCCACTCTTGTAGTCCCATCTATTATTACATCCTCGAAACTCAAGTGGGAGAGCAAAACTAACACTACAAGTGATCGGACCGTTCTTCTGTACGGTACCGAGGTAGGTCCAGAGACAGATATTTCTCGAACGATGGGTGCCAAAGTCCAGAAACTGCCATCGACTTCACAGATCTATTGCGAACAACTGGCCTGTTTGTTTCACTTGATTCGCATCTTGAACATTCCTGCTTTTTTTGTTGTTGGACAAACAAGTCGCAGTCTTTCCAATCAAGCTGCAGGAGAAGAGATTCAGGTACTTATCCCATCGCTAGTAGTGTTCTGTTCAAAATTTGTGCTAGTGGTGGGTTTGGGCTGTTACAAATGGTATCAAAAGCCAGACACCGGTGATATGCCAGCAAAGAGGCTGAGCCCCAAAGGGGGTGGACACGAGACGGTATGCCAGCAAAGTCGCTAGGCCTCGAAGGGAGGTGGATTGTGAGATCCCACATCGGCTGGGGAAGAAAACAAAACATTCTTTATAAGGGTGTGAAAATTTTTCCCTAACAAACGTGTTTTAAAAACCTTGAGGGGGAAACTCGAAAGAAAAAATCTAAAGAGGACAATATGTTCTAGGGGTGGGGTGGGCCGTTACACTCTTTCTGTTCAAGTGCCTTGGGATTGTTGGTTAAGTTGTATGTATAGTTGTTTTTTTTACCAATTGTTTGTGGGTTTGTTGTTGTCCAGATACTGAGCGAAATGGGTGAGCTATTAGCGAACTCCTTGTCCCTCGGCTTTTCAAGAGAGGGAATTGTTTGGAATCCAAAAGAGAAGTCAAAAGATGTAAGGGAGCCATGGCATGCATTATATGGCTGATGGTCTGCTCTTTTGCTAGCATTGGAAACCTCAGTTGGTTCATCTGGTACAGTCATTAAATGTTTAATTTAAATCTAGTTAAGAATCTTGATTATGAATTTCTTGTTGTTATTTCATTTACTTTGAAAAATATTTTAATACGGATATTACCCCTTCTCTAACCTTGCTCTAAATTTTAAAAATATATTTGTCTTCTCAAAAGTTACAATATTAATAACATTTTAAAATTAGAAATTAGGATTTAAAATAGTGTACTAGATAAAAATTACCATTATATAAATTTATTAGAATGTTATTACTCATACTCCCATCGAGATAAATCTGACGTTTTTTAAAAAGTGAACATTTTTTTAGTGACAGGGTTCGGAGAAAGAATAGGCAAATCTGACCCTCCTCTTGTTCTCGCCGGTATATTTTAAAAAGTGAACATTTTTCTTAGACCATTCTCTTGTTCCTGCCTACGTATATAGGATATTTTAAAAAGTGGACATTTTTTAGTGGCAGGGTTCGGAGAAAGAATAGGAAAATCTGACCCTCCTCTTGTTCCCGCCTACGGGTATATTTTAAAAAATGAACATTTTTCTTAGACCATTCTCTTGTTCTTGCCTACGTATATAGGATATTTTAAAAAGTGAACATTTTTTTTAGTGGCAGGGTTCGGGGAAAGAATAGAAAATGTGATTTCACTATATTTCTGACAGGGTTTGGGTAGGGCAGAGTTCGGGAAAACAATAGGAAAGGTGACTGACCAGGAACGGACCATATTACAATAATATATTTTTTAGTGGGATGATAGCTCTGAAAATACAGATTATCCATCTTGTCTTTAATTGAGGAGAAATACGAGGGGGCTAATTCAAATGCTCCCGTTAAAATGAGAACAGCCTCGCATCTATATAAAATTCTTATAAATTTCTATGTTAATTTTGAATTATTATTATTATATATATATATTTTTTTGTAAAATAGGAAAGTTAATGAAAATAGTGGTATTTTGAAAACATTGGGCAAAATTCTAGCCTATATATAAAAGAAAATCAAAGCTGGTATATACATCAATTATAATTTAATAGAGTGATTTTCAAACTTTAAAACAAAAAATAACCTATTTATAAGTTTTTATACAAAAATAAATAAATAAATAAACAATCCTCAGTAGAACTATTTGCATTTAAACATTTTGAAATATATATTCATTTTCCCGCACAAAAATGTCACTCCCTTACTTTCTTCCATCTTCTTCCTCTGCTCTCTTCTCCGCCGGTCCAATTCCGATCAAAACTCCGTTCACTGCTCTGAATCTCATGAACTCTCACTGCTAAACTCCGAAACCTCCCCAACCCATTGTTCTCTGTAATTTCATTTACCTCCAATGGCTTCCAAGGACCCTGAGGAGGCCGCCAACACGACCACTGAGGAAGGAAGTTTGGCCTTCAAGAAGAAGCGGGCCCGACGCGTGAGCTTTGCCGACGTCGAGATCACTTCGGTGCATATCTTTAAGCGTGACGAGGACTACGAGACGCCTCTTGAGCTCCAAGCCACTCCCGAGGCTGCTCCTCCGGACAACGAGGTCCTAGGGTTCTTCAGGAACTTGGTTGATAGCGATGATTCCCTTGAATCTTCGCCTAATTTGGATGATGATATTCTTGGGCAGAGGAAATCGTTTCTGAGACCACTAGGATCGCCGTCGCCGGGGAGTATTTCTGCCGGCTCTGCAACTTCCAATGATGGCATGTTTCTCTGTTTCTCTCTCTTCGTTTTTTCTAGCAATTGTTTTTGTTGGGTTTTACGATTTAAGAGTTTTCGATGAATGTGGTTTTGAAAATATCATTTCTACCACAGTAGATTGTTTTTTTGAAACAACAAGTTATGAACGAGTCAGGACTTCTTTGTAACAAGTTATCCACTTCACTATTGCAGAAGACAATTTTTTTGGACCTGTAGCAGCGAATTTCATTAGACCCAGGCGGTTGTCTGATTCTGCTGCCTCCGATGATAATCATGACGTTACAATGGATTCAACAGCATTTTCAATGCATTTTCGTAGCCTTGCTGAATCAGACTCGAGGAGGGAGCTCAAAACTCCTACGGCTATTCGGTCTGCATTTGAAGAGAGAACACCGACCCGGAACACCATGCCTACTAACTCTGATAGTTTTATGACACTAACGATGGCTGACAAGCTGATTTTGCCATCTTCGCAATCTGCTGATTTGGTAAGAAGTGAAGATTCTAATGCAATGAGCATCGTGGGAGAGAACTCTAATAAATACGATTATGGGAGATTATCTCCCTCTTTCAATGCACTTTTGACTGAAGGAAGCAGGGAACTCTATGCTGTTTCGGTGGATGAAAAATTGTCCAAACAGATTGAGACTCGTGAAGTTGATCAGATTGGACAACGCAATTATGATATGGAAATTTGTGAGAGAACCGAAATGGAAGCTGTTAGTAAGGTATTTTTCTTTGATGTTTGTTGCTTAGCCGGCTTACCTTACTATTATCTAAGGATTGGTATCACAATTTAAACTTTATCTTTTTGCTTAGCAATTGAGGTTGAATATGTTATTCTGTCAGTTGTTGCAGCTCAGAGACTGCTCTTATATGGCTGGCACAATACTCACAACTACCTCTTGTGTCACATTATGTTGGTGATGCGATTTTATGCATCCATCACACGACTCACATTGTAATTGATAATTTTCCTTGTGATTTGTGTTAGGAATAACGACTCTCCACAATGGTATGATATTGTGCACTTTGAGCATAAGCTCTCATGGCTTTGCTTTGGGCTTCTCCAAAAGGCCTCGTACCAATGGAGTTGTATTCCTTACTTATAAACCCATGATCATTCCCTAAATTAGCCAATGTGGGACTCTCTTCCAACAATCCTCAACATTTTGTTGGTGTTGCACAAGTATGGTTGAAGATATTTGTTCTTTTGTTTTCACAGGGAAGCAACCAATATGCCAAACAGGGAGTTGAGGAAAGATTTTCAGATGGGTGGGCTAAGGAAGATTTTCTGATTGATAAGAGGCCTGAGACACCGAGAAGTGTTGACTATAAGCTGAAAAATATATTTCCGCAAAAAAGATCATTTTCTGCTGAACAGAAAACATCTTTGGCTACTTTTAATTCACCTTCATTTTCTGCTCTTGTGACTCCTAACTCGAAGCTGTCAAATTATAGATTGAGTACAGGAAGCATGAAGTTTGGTAAGGGTCTGTCGTCCAAGCAGAGAAGTATTTCTAAGTTCAGCCTTCCTGAACCTTCTCCATGTGTGTTGAGTATTAAGGAAGGAATTGGCAGATTAAAATCCAGACTATCAAGTTATTCTTCTATTGTTAACTTGAGTGGTCAACCTGAACGTTGCAAGGATCTTGAAAGCAAATACATAGACATTCCTGTTGTGCGTTTAGAAGAAGAACTTTCTAGATTGAATGGAAACAACGGTGAATTTGAAAGTTCATTTAGCACTAGTGGCAGTGGAGTCAAAACTTTAAAAGACTTCCCTAGGCTGAGCCAAAGTGAAGAACCGAAAGGTTTCACTGATGCTGGAGAAACACCAGGCTATATGGCTATGGAAAACTTTTCCAATATGCAACCTAGTGAACCGGACATAGAATTAAAGTCACCCGCTCAAGCTACCTGGACTGAGAAAAAAGATCTTATGCCACACATTTTGATTTCTGAAGATCATTTGTCGAGGTCATCTACTAGTATTAAAATTGATGATGTGACGGACATTAGACCCGATGACAGAGAACAAAATAACTCAACCAGTAAACATGATACACTTGTTTCATCTCCTTTGCGAAGTCCAGATGTAAGGTTATTAGGAAACAGTGAATGTCCGTCTGGTAGCTTTGGTGAACTGAAGCAGTGTGACCAACAGGTCAAGCATGTTAGTGCTTGTTTGACGCAAGGTCAAGCTGCAGCTGCAGATACAAGCAATACCAGTCCTTTGACTAAGATTGCTGACAATTCTAGTTCATTGCAATCCAAAAGTGGAGCTGTGTCAGCTTCACCGTTCCTGAAAGGTCAATCTTGGGTAGATGAGGATGATAATGGAGTTAACCTTTCAAATTTGCAGAATAATTTTGTAACATCTAAGAATTTGCAACTGTCTTCAGGAGATGGGAACATCCTGAATTCTCGGTTGGAAAGTCCTGCCAAGAGCTCGAAGGTTGGTGCATTTTCACCGCAGTTTCAAAAGCCTTGGACAAGTGAACGATCCATTATGCAGGTTATATTCTCTTTCCTTTTCCTTGTTAATAATTTATACAAGAAATTAATTATGTAAACAATGACTGTTCTGGCCTCAAGTTGAGAAAAACTCCCATTTGAAAGTTATCTTATCTGCTATCAACTTTCTACTGAAATTTAATGCTCACAGAAATCTTTCTTAATCAAGTTTTAGTAGATGCAAATAATTTATTGCCTTTAATTATACTATTGGTTGTTCTCTCAATGTTTTAAGTGTTTATATTGAGTTTGCTCGTTTTTTTTTTTTTTTTTTTAATCTTAGAGTCCCATCAATGGAATGGCAAACTACAGTCCCCGAAGGATAATTTCAACCCAAACATCATCTGGGAAGAAAGAGCCCAAGGTTTCCATCTCTTGTATGTCGACTGCGAGTCCTTTCAAGAATGAACGAACTCAGAGTTCTGCAAGGGAAAAGCCATTTCAAAGTCCCGTCAGGAATGACCCTTTTAATGAAACAAAAGACGATGGGACCTTCATGAGGAAAGTTAGGGCTTCTCCAACATCCAGTTTGAGTGGACATATTAATCATGATAATGATCAAGCAAGCCACATATTGGTGAGTTCTTCAAGGAAGACCAATCACCGCCTTTCAGGGAGCAAGAGAAGAAACATTGATTCGATTCCTCTTGACGGAGATCAGGGTGACAATGACGTAATAGTAAGGACTCGGCAAAGCCTAAAACTTAATCATAGTGGAAGTTGTGATGTGGGCTCTCCGTTAGAAGAGTCCAACCAAATAAGCAATGGAAGCAAGAGGACTGAGGGCAATACACTTATGCATTGGACAGATGTAAGTTGACCGTCTTTTTGGTTGATAAGATTACTTGTCTGCTAGCCATATCTGATGACAGGAGTCGTAGAGATTTCTTGTGTTGATTTCATGAATTGTTTACCTTGCATTATCATGTTGCAGATGACAATAAAGTTTTTAGCAGAGACAAATGATTTGCTACCCCCATCGATCAACAAGTTGAACTCAAAAGCAGTATATTTCCCCTAATTTCTTCCTTCTCTTTTTTGTTTTTTTCTCTCTTCATTTACATGTGAAATTATATATAATAATGTTGTGATCTTCATTTCCCTAACTGATACTGCTTTCTTCTTCTTCTTTCTTTCTTTTTTTTTTTTTTTTTTTTTTTTTTTTTTTTTTTTTTTTTTTTTTTTTTTTTTTTTTTT